TGACTCGGCAAAACCAAATATTAGAAAAGCTCCAAAGTCAAGTTTAATAAAAATAAAAATAAACCACCCACCTACACACAGGTATACTTATTCAGTTTTTGAAGTAATAAATTAAGGTAGCAAATTAAAGTACTACTGAATAATATTCTTGGAATATATTTGTATATACATAATATGCATTCATCACGTACATGTGAACATAAATATACACAATATTAATAATTATGAAAATATTATTATATAGAATTGCAAATGGTGTTCAAATGCGGCGGTAATTTTTCAACAAAAATATTAAATATACCCGACTATATAAACAATTGCCATATTATTAAAAATGCCTGAAGAACTTTTTTATTTTATGTATTTTTTTGTGTTGAATTGCATTGTGTTACCCACACAATATACAGGTGGGTTGTACAGAACTCACCTATATTTTGTTTTTAGTCAATTGTTGTTAACGTTTTTGTAAAATGATTAGTAATGACAATAAGTATATAGAAATATTACCATTTATATGGAAAGATACACTCAGTATACTTGCATAGATATTAATGTATGTAGATGTATGTAAATAGGTATGGAAGTGCCAATACCACTTAAGTATGTATAAGTTTAACATGAATTTTTGTTGTTATTTTGTAGTGTTCATTTCTTATTTATTTTGTTTTCAATTCGAAAGAAAAGTTTTTATAATTTTCCAGCAATTTTCCTTTTTCATATTTTGTAATTTTGAAATCATCTTTTATTGTTGTTTTTCATGACATTCTGTGATTAAAATTTACAAATTCTTTTGGAAAGGTGTCGTGTCGTGACATTTTAATGTTAATTTGTTTGACGTTGTTTCTTTTTTGTTTTTATCCAACAATCGGATGAAAAAAATTATTAATTATTATTGTAGTATAAATAAAATGTAGCTTTCCCGTAGTACGTGTTAGTGACCAATGTTCGTTTATAATATTAAGAATTTTATTAAGACGAACAGTAATGTCATGGGTTCTCAATCATGATGTGATTTCTTTAAATATTAATAGCATTTATTCTAATTAAAAGCTTGAAAGGAGAAGATTGCAATGTCTTATTACTCTAACATAATTTTTATTTTGTAATCAAGAAGATGAAATAAACTAAAATGAAATTAAGTTAGAAAAAATTGTTTTTAAATTTGAAATTTTTTTAATTGATTCATTTAAAAAACTGTGAACTTCACCTTTGAAATTGAATTTTTTTTTGCAAATTAATGATCACTTAAATTAATTTAAGAAAATATTAAAACTTTTAGACTAAATAGCAATAACATCAATATTAATAATCATAATTAACCACGTTAATAACAAAAAAAATTTTTTTTTTAATTTTTAGTGACCTTTCGAAGATTTTAAATGTTAACTATAATGTACTTAAAAATATTTCAACCAGAACACAATTTTCATTAGCATTGATTTTTAAATAATTAAAATTTGATTTCCTGTAATTTGAATAAAAATATTTGAATAATTTTAAGTAATAAAAATAACAACATCATACAAAATTAAAATAATAGTTTAGGACAAGAAGGACTTCTGGAGACCGCACGTATTTATGATTGCAACGACAAATACTTTGCAGTGCTGCATACAATATGAAACATTCATTGATAATTTAATTCGAATGATGACACTATATAGGTACATTTAATGATGACACTATATAGCCAAATACACAAAAAGTATGTTCTGCAGAGTAGGGTGGTTGCAAAATACTAATTTTTAGATTCACTAACACTCACATAATAAAGACATTGTATTGTAATTATTAGTTTGGCAAATATGAAAAAAAGTCATAAATTGTTAATAACTCGAACCGATCCATTAAAATAACTGAAATTTTTATTAAAATGCATTTATAAAAAATAATTATCTATAATTTCAATAACAAGGCAAAGCTTACCAAATTAATTTGATAAAATAATTTAATAAAATTATTTTTAATAATTTTCTAGTTTACTACCAAGGACACTTCTTTTTCTTCAAATAATTTATAATTTTTTATAGGGTTAACAAAAGTTTAATGTTAGAATAGCAAAAAAAAAAATAATTTGACTTAACGATCTCAATAAAATTTTAATATACTATTAACATGTCAAGAGACAAATTAAAGATAATTTCAATATTAAAAGTTGAAAATTTAAGATTCCAAAAAACTGCAAAAAATAAAAAAAAAACCGAAAAATTGAGAAAAAAACAGCTTTGATGTCAAAAAAAAAATCAACTATCAAAAGGTCAACATATTTGATTACTTCATTTACTAAAATGCTTTTTTACTTGTTTGAGCTTTCATTTTGTATATTTACCAAAAAAAAACATAATTGTTTAACTTCCAACAGGGTTTTTGATATGTTACGACTGATAGATGAATCCAAAATCACACCATTAAAACAAAAACTAACTAAGAAAGAACCATAAACAAAACAAGCAGATATTTTAGTATAATGCGGCAAAACTTTTGGATATTCTTGAAGATTATAAAACATTTTACTAATAAGTAATAAGTAAGGTAGAAGATAAAAAAAAAACAGAAAAGCAACAGGAACAAAAATCTGTATTTTTCTGCCAATTATCTACTTATATATGAGCAATAAAAACATTGATCTCCCACTGGCAATGTAACAAGATCTTTAATATATTTAAGAAAAAAAGCTTAAAAACTTAATTCGGAATAGGAAAAAAAAACTAAAAAACGACTTTGTCTTTTCTTCCTTTGTTTTTAAATAAATATTTTTCCAGTAGTTAACGAACTAACAAGCAAAGAATTTGATTTTATGCTCATGTGGTGTTTCACGCAATCAGAAATATTAGAATAGAAAAACAAAAACTAATAAAAAAAATCTTTCAGTTCGTTTATACCAACAAATTTTTATTAACAAGAAATAAACACCAACGAGTTGTGATTGAAAAACTGAGCACAATTAAAAAAACTTTTCCAACATATCAAAAATTTTTCACTTCCAAAATTATTTTTATGTTGTAATTTATTACAGAATTTTAATTTGAAACAACCAATAAAAATATTTTATTGATATTTTCAGTTTAGTTAAAATGAACCTTACATCTCCATACACACACGCACACATTCGAATCGAAGTTAAAACCTATAATGGTTAATTAATAAAATTTCTTATACACATACTTTTAGTTAAGAAGTTCAAGTTTTTACTCGCAAAGTTTTTGGAAGATTTAATTATAGCAACAATAATGTTTACACTATTAAAATAATTAATTGTTGTTTATTGTGTCTCTAATTATTTTTTTTTTTAATTATTGGAAGAAATATCTGATGTGTGGCATTATAAAACATAAATGTATACATATAAATTATTTATGATTTATTGAGTACAAAGCGATTTGAACTCTCCTGGCAATATAAAAGCAAAATAAACAACAAATAAGTGTAAAACTTTTATATTTTTTACTAACACATTAAGAGCCCATTTGAATTGTAGTTATATGTAGTATGTTCGTGTGATATGTTTGGATTTAAAATAACAGACGAAAATTTATAAAACCCAAATTATATCGAAATGCTTGCGAATTAAAGTCCTTAATTAAATAGGAGGGCACGTATGTATAGTATGTCCTTAATTAAATAAAAGAGTATGTAAATAGAAGAGTATTTTCCAGCAGCACTTTGTGATAGCAACCTTAGAGTTTTTCTTATCATTTTTTCTCTCTATCAATCAAATGAAATCGATAAGTGTAAAACCAAAATGTAAGTAGCGAGAAGAATCGTCTGCATATTGGCACAGAACATGAAAATGTCAAACAAATCTGAAATCACATTTTTAACTATTCCAAATAAATATGGTATCGATAATCCTCAAAAAAACATTAAATTGTACGATTGTTAGTTCGATATCAATTTAGATTTTTATAAATTTTTGAACTCTCACACAATTTTTGTACCTCTTCCATAATTTTGCCATTTGAACAATGCCGATTCATACATATTATTATAATGTGGTAATTGGAAGGAACCATATTTGATGCTATTTGTGCTGTTTTAGTAAATATCTAATGCATTATACACATAATGTTGTAATTGGTACATTCGTAAGTCTTAGGACTCGAATTTGTAAATTGAATTTGAAGTCATTAAATGCGACTTAATTCTATAATATTAATAAGAATTTTAATTTTTACATGCCACAAAATAAATATTCTAATGGTGTGGCATGTAAAAAAACATTTCAAAACTTAAATGTTAAGATTATTTTTACTAATACTATATAATGAAATAAAAAAGGTGCTTAATTCTGGAGATGAGTCGGATAATTTACTAAATATTTTGATTTTTAAAATATTAATTTCAGTCGAAAATATTAAATCAGAGTCGAAAAATATCCAAAAATTCGAAAAAAAAGATTAAAATACAATTTTGTTGAAAATATGTGAATTTTTTTTCTAATTTGATAAGAAAATTATTTGCAAACCCTTTTTTATAAAATGTTATCGCTAAATCATTCTAATCTGCTGAAACAAAGTGTACGAAAACACTCATTTCTTGTTACTATTTAACTTCAATCTACGATATTTTGTGTTGCGACAGTTTCGTTCTACCTGGATGCGATTATGTACATTTTCTTTTATCATACTAATAAATTCAAGAATAACAGAGCATATTTGATAATGTTATTAATGTTATTTACAATAATTTAAATTAAATAAATTTATTTATATACAGGTGAAATATTAGACACATTTTTTATTGTTTATATATTTAATTATTTAATATGTTTATAAATATTTTCATATTATACACATACATATAAATAAACGTAAATATACAGATTGTGTGTTAAATTATTTCCCCACAGTATTAATTTTTTAAAAATTTCCTGCATATCATACTTAATATGAAGCCAACTTCAAATGATCTTCATTTTACCATTATTACACAACAAATACGACATTATTCTTATACGAACTTATTGTGAAAATATGAAAGAGAATTTAAATAAAACTCACCTGACTGTGGTCACATGATGTGATGTATGTGTATGAGTTTCCTTATGTCGAGTTGAATAACTAACAACGGTAACATGACGTGTTGCTTGCCTAACAACGCGTCTGACACGACTTCTACCATCACCAACTACAACAACAATTGGTGGTGGTTTACCATTGCCATATTGTAAAAATGGTTCAACTGCACGTAATTCAGCTTCAGACATTTTTTATTTTTGCAATTGTTTTATTTTGTTGCTAATACTATGGTTATTTATCTGTTGTTTCTTTTATTTGTTTTACTACGTTTGAAGTAGTATCGTAAGAACTACATATTAATAACAATACAATTAATACTTGTAGTAATACAATGTAGCATACAAAAAATTTGTAGTTGATAATTATATGAGTTTTTTTAGGTAGTTTTGTAGCTACAGTACAACACAGAGTTATTGTTTTGGTGTTTTATCTGTTTCACAGATGCAGTTTTTTGTAGAGAGAGGCAATAGTAGTATTGTAAAAGAGCAACAAAATTGTAAAATATTTTGACAAAATAAATAAACTTTCGTTTTCTTCAATTTTTTTTTTTGCAAATTTTTTCTTTTTTTTTTGCGCTGTGTTAAAAAATTGGATTTTTTTTGTAGTTTTCTTTTTGTTGTTTTGTAGTTTCGTTACAATTATTTTGTATTTGTTTACAAATGTACCGTTAATGTACAAATATGCATCGATTTTTGTTTGTTTGTATTTTTTAATTATTTCGATTTTAAAATTTTGTGTTGTCTAATTTATTTTTGTAATTTTTCACACTTTTGGTATTTTATTATTTAGAATAAAAATTTAATTTTTTTAAAACAGTGAATTTGAAGTTGACAAAATCGTTTTTTCTTTGTTTAATCTTTGGTATTGAAATTTAGTTATGTAGGTTTGAAAAACTACAAATGTGGTTGAATTAAAAAAATTAGTTGAAGAATTTCCAATTGTGCTTACAAAACTAAGTTTTGCCTTCTAATTTTTGAATTATTTTATAATTTAAAACATTTTAATTAGCACTTTTACTTTGTTATCTGTTTTTATATTTATTAAGTTCTGCGTTATTACATTTAAATATTTTTTCTTTAAATTAATTATGCATCAAGTTCGTTTCATTATTTCCTGCAATAAAAACCAATTATAAACTACTTGTGAAGACTCAATATTTTTGCGAGCTAGATTTGTCGCTTAATATTGCAGCTTGATTATGTCTTTAGACTGCAAGTTAGTTCACAATTTTGTCACAAATAAAATGCCGCAAATTAAATTTTATGTGTTTTTCATTTTATAATAAATTAAATTTTCAATGTTTTTTTTGTAATTTGTGTATTGTTTTTATAATATATTTCGTGACTTTAACGTATATTTCGTGAATTTTAATAATAAAATAATAAAAAAGAAAATATGTTTTCAAAATTTATTTGTAATTAAATTTAAAAAAAATTAAACAATTAAACACTGACATTTTGTGATATACCCAAATACACATCCACAGCTGCTCATTACTGTAGCATCAGCCAATTCAAAACTCGGTAATATTTCAATATTTTTTTAAAGCAAAATTCAATTTTAAAGTTTTTGTTTTCATTTTCAATTAATTTACAGTTTATTAGTGTAATTTCATAGTTTAAAGAAAATTAATTTTTTTTAATCAAAAATATAAAATTTAATTGATCATATACAGTTGCAAAATAATAATTACAAAAATCTGTAAACATTCATGATATAGTAAATAAAAATTATTTTGCAGAACAGTTTTATTAAAATGGCGTGTTTTCGAACCATATAATTACAAATTACAGTGATCAATTATTTTTCTCGAGTAATTTTGCATGTACATACTTATTATAGTCAATAAATAATTTTCAATACATACATATGTGCATATTAACATATTAAAATGTATCTGTTATGAAAATATGTTAGCATATAATTTGCAATCGTTACTGTTCGAGTATTTAATATAAAATTTCTAAAAAATATTTTAAAGCTTTAAATTCATTTCAGATGATATGACAATCAGTCAAGATAGTATAAATTACGACAGAACAAATAAGAAAATGAATTTTTGCAAATTAACTAAGGGCAAAATATTGCCATATTTCCAATTTTTAGCAAATTTTAAGTAAAATTTAATTTTTTCTTGCTTGATTCAGAAGATTTGTGAACAGCTCCCTAAATTTTCGAATCTTGGTATGTTTTTATAAAATATAACTTTGTCAAATTCTTTTAATGACGTTTTTGACGAAATTAGAATTTTTTGACATAGTAAATTTTACTATAGAGTAAGGACTATACATGTTGATTTAAATCCGAAAAATTGAAATGTTGCAATATCCTGATTTTGTTGTAAATTAACTTAAAGTATTTTCCTTATAGTCACAGATTAATATACATGAATATATGTACATATGTAAATGCTGTTTAAATTTTAGGTGTGTGATAAAAAATATCACGGAATACACATCACATATAGTGAATTAAAGTATGTTGTTAATAATACAATATTATTTTCAGTTTGTTTTATGTAAGTACTAACTGTTATACTGCTATAATACGCATTCTAATATTTAATTATTACAACAATTTAGTCAATCTTAATAAATTCAACTTTTTGAAATTTAATATTTATGAGCCTAATAAAAACTATAGGCTATTTATAAAATACAATTTGCAGAATTTAGAAAACAAAAAAATTAGAAATTTCCAAAAAAAGCAATAGGAAAAAAATCATAAAAAAAAATTATTTATTTTAAATTTATCGACTGTCATTTAATATTTTGAAAAATTTATAACTTCATCTCAAAAAAATTTATTGTTTATGATATCGAGATATTTCAATACTGACTTTATTTCATTGTTTTTACCTTAATACATTTAGAACGTGTTAAGAAAATTTCAGAATGTCATAAATTTAAAAGAAAATTAGAACAAAACTTAAAAAAAAAATAAATTTTTAAAGAAACAAATACAAAGCTTTAGTTTTTATTGAAATTATTAAAAATAGGACAGTTGTTTTCTGTCGACACTATTTAAGATAATTTCAATATCTAGATCAGTTTAAAATATTCCGGTGATTATTTTAAATGTATACATACATATATGTATTGAATTGTTAGAAATATAGCAGATAAACTTAAAAATTATGTTTAACAAGAAATTATTTAACAAAATTTAATAATTGTCATGTCAACTCATAATTGAAAGCAATTATAGAGAAATTAGTGGGATAATTACAACTCAATATACTTAACTTCTTGTTATATAAATTATACGAGTATATCATTATAAAATTATCTTTCAACAACAACTTTCGAAAAATTTTCAATATTTTATTTAAAAAATATTTGCTTAAATTATAACTTTAGTTTTTTTTAGCTCATCTTCACTTCTGCTGTTAAACATTTCCGTTTAATCTTGCCTTTTTAATAAAATATATGGGTAATTTTATAGTTAATTAATTAAATTTGTACATACGTACATACTTTTGTATTTTGTTTTTATTTTTGCGAATCTTTTATTTAAAATATATTATAATATATAATAAAAGCTTTGTAAATAAATACCGTTAATTTTGTTTATACAAAAAATACAGAAGAAAAAATTAATTTTTCACAAATAACTTTCCAAATTAGGATTAATTGATGAAACATTAATAACTACATCATCATCATACAATGATTTTATAATCAACATCATTACCATGATCACAATCAACAGTATTATCATAATGGTTGCTGTTACCATAATTGTACATCAAAATTATTACTGGTACGGGTACCTTACTTTTTTTTAATATCTAAAAGTTGTGCATAAATATTAAATAAATTTAAATATTCTTTATAAACAGTGGGAGTGGGGTGACGTTATTTGTGTCAACTTCTACTCGATTTTTGTTTTTTTTTTAATTTTATTTTTACTTCTATAACAGTGGCGAAAAGAAAGTATGTATAAAGACATATGCAAATTTTGTAATTAATTTGTTTGCTCACTTAAAGATCCTACTTTTAAAATAAGGGCATTGTACAAAGAAGAGAATGAAAATAAAAGATAAAAACAGCAAAATTCTGAAAAAATAATAACATTTTTTTTGTTTCATTTACTTTAGTAAATTTAGAATAGTTTTAATTTCAACATAACAGCTGTTTCCTTAAAATAAAAATGTTTGAAGGGAAATTAAATAAATTTGAATCAAACCAATGGTTTCTAATGTAGCACATTTTCGTTGAGTAAGTGAAAATATTTTTTCCTACTTAAGAACATAAATTATTCCCATTTACGTTCTAAAATTACACTACACGAAAAAAATTATTATTGCAAGCGTTAACATTACAGTCGATTTCAAATGTTAGTACCTATATAAAACTTAATTGCATTTTTTGATGAGGAGACATTCAAACAAACCATATTTAACTCGAAATAACATTTGTTAACCCTAAATTCCTCTGCATATGTTATTATTTATGTAATTTAAAAGTTTGGTGAAATTTTTTCGAAAATTTAAACGCACAGAATAAATGAAAATTATATTTTAATGAAAATATCTACGGCAATTTTTTTCAACACTTATGCAAACTTAATAACATTCTAATAACATTAGGAAACTGCTGTACTTTGACGTAATGAGATGAATTTTTTTTACTAAAAAAATATTTACATGTTATATAATATTGCAGTGTATAAACAAAGACTGCAGTAACTGAAAATGACAGAGCATTCTTTCAATAATTGTCTTATGGAAATAAGATAGTTCTGGTTGCCTTTAAAATTCAATTTATTCTTATATCACGAAATTATAATTTTATGGCATATGATGACACCCGTCTCCTCTCAAAGGAATTCAAAGTAATATAATATTTCGCCTTTTCGTAATACTTCAGGGCATAAGTCATTATTCTAAAGGTCACTTTGCACTTAAAAATTTACACAATCAAAATTTTTAAATGCAATACAGTTCTGTTAAATTACATCAGCTTATTTTACATATTTAGGCACTGGTACAAATCTCTGCGAATAATTAATTGTTAAAAATTAATTTTGACTTTTATTTTAATTGTGAACTCATTAATTTAGACCATGACCCAAGATTTGAATTATATGGTTTATGTTGTTCGCATTAATTTTCCAGTTTTTGTAGTTAACAATTGTTGTTGAATGTTGTTGATAGCAAAGATAATAAATTTATTTTTGTGGTATTTTCCGTTTTTAATTCCGATTTTGTCATAAATTCATCAAACGGCATCATCATCAAATCATCAACATGTTTATGATTCATGATTATTATTTTGTTTTTTTTTTTTTTTTGTATTTCATGTTTACTTTTTATGATGATTATAAAGATCGCGTCTGACGGAACTTACTGACCCAAAAATTTCCATTTTCATATACAAAACAATGACTATGGAAAACAAAAAGCAAAACAACCGAAAGAAAACTGTAATAATAATAAAAATAAAAAATAATAGAAAAGAAACTGGAGCACAAATGAAAATAATAAAAAATTGCACACACAAATGTACGTACGCAAGTGTAACATAACTTTGACTTACTACTATATCATACGTACTTTGTATATTAAATTTGAGTACAAGAGTCAAGTGTTTCGCTTTTTTTTTTATTTTATTTAAGAGTTTTTCATTTTGAATAAGAGTCAGTGGAGGGAATATTTTGAAATGTAAGGAAATTATGGAATTATGGACAAAATATACAATAAGATTAATTTCATACAAAGCATGAAAATGTTAATTTTTTAATTTTGTGTTTTGCTCAACAAAATGGATTTCTTTGAACTTATTTACTGCGAAAAGATATTGGACAATTGTGCACAAATGAAAATATGAATTAATTAAAAAAATTATTAAAATTTTATTATTGCTTTTCTTTCTCTTCATTACATCATTAAATTGCATCAGTTTTTAGGTTGTGAGTGCACTAATTTCAATTGAAAAGAGTACGGAGTTTTGAGTAATGAAATAATGTGAAAGGTAAAAATAATTGTTCCTATTGATAACGTAAAATTATAAAATTTGTTAAAATCTATAGATTTACCCATTATGCGACTGTTTATAAATACAAGTACCTACAAGTTCGTTTTTATTGTACGAAACACTCAAATTTACTTAAACAAATAGTACCGATAAATATGTAGGTAAGTATGCCATATTTCAATGTTTTTTCAATTTCATTAGGAAGACCAAGCAAATTTTGTTTTACTTTTCTATGGAACATACAGCATGTGTTTGCTTATTTAATTTAAACGCTTTTAATCTATTAAATGAGAATATTTTATAAAGTTTTCATAAATAATTTACACATTAAAAAAAATGAGGAACGTTAATTAATTAGTTTGGAAATTTTAAAAATTTCACGCTTTATTAAAATATTTTTCATACTTATTTATGCAGTTAATTAACTGCATATATTTTAAAAACTAGTAAAACTTGTTGAACTACATATGTACAAATGCGTGTACATCGATAATGAATTCTGCAATAATTACCTTATTATGTATATATGTATATTGTATGTATGATTAATCGATGGAAAAATAATT